GAGTGCATCCTCCAGAAGAGTTCCTTCACGGCTTTTATCTCTTTTAATATGGAGCGGGTATGAAGGGTGAAGACCAACATCAGAGATGCAGCTCGATGTGACGGTTTCATGGCGTTTCTTCCCTTACAGACGGGGGCAGTGCGACCGGAAAGGGCACGTGGTGCTGTCTCCGCTGAGTGTCATCCTCCAAGAAAAGTTCTTCACGGCTTTCATTCTTCAATGAGAGCGGGACGTAGGGTGACGACCAACATAAGAGATGCAGCTCGATGGACGGTTTCTATGGCGTTTCTTCCTTACAGACGGCGGGCAGTGCGACGGAGGCAGGTGGTGCTGTTCGCTGAGTGTCAGTCCTCCAGAAGAGTTCCGTCAGGCTCTCATTCTTCAAAGAGAGGGGATGTAGGGTAGAGAACGTCGAGATTGTTTCATGGCCGTCCCTTGCCTTACAGGGGCGGGCAGTGCGACGGAGGGCCACGTGTGCTGTTCCGCTTAGTGTCACCTCCGAAGAGGTTGCCTTCACGGCTGTTTATCTCTTTAAATGGTAGTGGGATGAGGGGTGAAGACGAACATCAGAGATTGCAGTCGATGGAACGGTTCTCTGGCGTTTCTTCCCTTAGCGGCGGGCAGTGCGACGGAGGGCGACGTGTCGCTGTCTTCGCTGGAGTGGTCATCTCTCAGAAGAGTCTTGTCCGGCTTTCATCTCTTCCAATGAGAGCGGACGTAGGGTGAATAGACAACATCAGAGGTGAGCTTCGATGGACTGTCCTGGCGTTTCCTTCCTGCTTAGCGACGGCGGGCAGTGCGACGGAGGCCACGTGGTTGCTGTCTCGCGCTGAGTGTCATCTCCAGAAAGTTCCGTCACGGCTTTTCATTCTCTTAAATGAGAGCGGGACGTAGGGTGAAGACCAAACATCAGAGGTGCAGCTCGATGGACTGTTTCCTGGCGTTTCTCCCTTCAGACGGCGGGCAGTGCGACGGAGGCCACGTGGGCTGTCTCCGCGAGTGTCATCCTCTCAGAAGAGTTCGTCACGGGCTTTCATCTCTTCACTGAGAGCGGACGCAGGGTGATAGCGCAACATCAAGGTGGCAGCTCGGATGGACTGTTTCTGGCGTTCTTCCCTCACAGACGGCGGGCACGTGCGACGGAGGGCAATCGTGGTGCTGTCTCCGCTGACGAGGGCTGCTGCTGGGCGCCTGACGTGGATGGGCGCCGGGGGGGTCACCGCCCAGGAGCTTGGGCCGCGGTCTGCACTCTCAGGAACGAAAGGGCTCGTGGCGTTGGCTCAAGGCGCTTGTCGTCTCCTCACTGCAGGTGAGTTCAGCGGCATGCGACCAAGCGGACCGGAAGTCTCGTTCTTTGTTTCAATCGTTTCAACTGTCAACTTCTTATTTCTTTGCATTCATATTATCAAAATATTCGGAAAACTCAGTATTACTTAAATTATGGCATTTCATTTGATTAGATTTACTTACATTTACTTCGTTATTTTCTACTCATCAATTTCATTCTTTTTATTATTATCTCATCAGTTATTTTCATCTCTCTGTATTATTGTCATTTAAATACTCCCTAAAAAAATTCTCAAGTAGGTCTTAAATACATGCTTCGCAGTTTTCTTCCTCCAATGACATAAATGATCTAAATGATCAAGATAGAGGATTCGATATTAGTTAAGATGAATGAGAGAATAAAAAGCTATGCTGGGTAAATGATTAATGGGGAAGTCTATAATGAAACTATCCGTAGTATGAATAGTTTTCAGTTACAGCAGTAAGAGTAACTTAAGTCAAACAACAATGTATATATTTAATATTATATATATATCTATATATATATTATAATATTATTTGTTAAATTTTATTAGCTTTTTTTATAAATTACCAACACGTGGGATTTGGTAGCAATAATCCGCAAGGTAGGATATACTGGGCTGGTCTAAAGCCCCTGCTACACTAACGAGATCTCCAGATTCTATGTTGACTTCATGACTAATGTGCAGATTCAGGATTTTCCGAGAAAAGATTTGTCTTCGAAAATGAGTTTAATATGTTACTATCGAGCCGCGAATTCAAAGTGGCTGCCGCGTTACAAACAGACACTAGGTCTGGTCGCAAGAGGCGGGCATTCAGTAGGTATTATATTATATTGAGGGTTGAAAAGGATTAATTATTGTGTCATGGGATTGCTCTTTATATATTATTTATATGGGAGGTACTATATTTTATATTATCATTCTATTTCAATTTGTTTGTTTAATATATTATTTCTTAACGTAGTATTTAATTAGTCTTAAATATGCGTATTAGGTGTTCGAATTCTTTCTTGTACAGGAAATCGTTTATTTACATATCGTTATTGTCGTTTTTTATGTTCATGATTTATCAAATATTACATTTATTCTTCCTTTGATTGGCAATATAATTAGGAAAAGTAAGGACATCACTTACACGCACCTCTCAACCTAGAATTCACTGAATTTCACACTTCCAGGAGATATATTCACATATTTGGAACTATAATCTCTTAGAGTTCAGATGCAGTTGTACAATCTCCACTGGGCCATAATCACAAATTTCCTTCATTATCCTAATTTGGTTTTTACAATCTAAAATTGGGAATGGTCATGGCAAAATTTGCTAACATGAAGCATATGTACTCGCAATTCTTCGCGAAGTCATCAATAGTTGGTTGACATCAAGGTTGCATTAGATTTGATACTCATTTCTGTGCAAATGTATTTTTTTTATACATTTTATTTGTGAATAGGCTCTGTTCCAAATTGTCAATAGACGAATACTGATGAATGACTTGTTTAGTAAATTCTCAGCTTTCAAACGACAATTTCCATATTAGTGTGGCCCTGTCATCAATCGCTGATCGGCGGCTTCTGCATCTCATATTAGCTTGGCTCTTCGTATTGAGTTCGTGCAATGTGTTTAGTAATGGGGGGTTGGCAGTTTTCGAGGGAGGCGGGGTCTGCTTGCTACTGCATAGAAGGATCGACGCGGCGCGGTACATTGCACGTTCTGGGGGCGATATGCATGATCCAGCCGTGAAACTTATTTGCCCTTTAAAAGAGGGAATGCCCGGCATAATTCACTGTGTACGTTCTTCTTTGCATAGTTATGTTGTCGTCATATTTTACTGTTTTTTGTTTTTAAAAATGTTTTTCTCATTATGACTGTTAAACAATGGTGTCGACAGTAGCTGCCTTTTTTAAAATAAGTATCATTTAATTGTAACTGCCCATTCTTTACAATTTACAAAGGTACAATCCCAAATATAGCAAACGCAGAAAAATACTGACTAAAAGACCTAAGTACTGTATAATGTTTATCCCTAATGTAAGGAGATTTTTAAGTTTTAAATTCAGTTAATGTATTTTTAAATATATCACTTCGCACACGATTATGAATACATAGTATTCGCTGCTTGATATTAAAATACATAAATACTCTGTCGAAAACTAGAAGAAAAGTAATTATGATTTTTAAGAATTTTTTCTACATTGATCGAACCATCTTTACATGGTTTTAAAATAGTTTAATACAGTCTCGTCCAAACGATTCAATTATTGCAATTTTGTTGTTTCGACACACTCTAAATTGGTGATCTCCTGATGCAAAGCGAATTTGCATTATCGGCCTATGAACATTATAATTCTTGATTTTAGCATATTTCAAATATATATTTCTAATTTTTTTTTCATGTCATACTTCTCATTGTAATCTACCTGACAACAAACATCTCCAATATAATGTAATAGGCGATATTAGTTGAAGTGTATGTTACGCCCGCACATATTATCGTAAATTTCTCTGTCAATATACGCGCCTATCGATTCGAGATTTTGCATTCTCATTGCCTCAATTCACTCCTGGAATTAGTGATCTGCCCAACTACCACTGCTGGATTTGGCCTCGAGTGGCTTGAGCGCTCACTCTTTTGCTCACTTCTTTTTGTGGCTTGCAAGGTAGTGAAATTGCAAAAACTAGCAGGCTGGTATAGACCATACACATGGACTATCTTCGCGAAAGCAGCTAGCTCATTGTGCGATTTCACAGTTTAGACTTTGGAGTCAGTTTGGTTCAATTTTTCCATCGATATTTCTCTAATCAGAACTTTTCGGTTTAGACTCCCTGAAACCAGCCAGGAAGTAAATTCTGGCGCTTCGCCAACTAACTGTCGTCCAGAGTGGCTTCCGTTGAAGGAAGACTTCGGCTGAAGGCGTCTAAGTTTCTTCGCGGCGGATGCCGAGCAGCTGGACTTCGCTCGTGACGCAGGCGGAGCCCGAAGCGCCATCGAACCGCGTGGGTGAGCAGTACACTAGCGACAAGATCAAGGACCTCTTCCCAAGGGTTAAGCGCACCAACACCAACGTGTATTGGCTTGAGAGGTGTAACTTGCTTGTTGAAAGGGAACACCGTTGACACGATTAAGGAGCTGCTGTTAAAGCGTAATTTCTCTAAAGGATTCACTTTGGGGTAAGAATGTTGTTGTTTCTTTTTCGCATACCACCATATCTAGTATAAGTTTGTAATTGATACGACAAAAAAACAATTTCGTATTTTAGATGCACCTACCGACAGGGGATTATTCTTGTTCTACATTGAAACAAATTACATCTTATCACGTCGTTCAGGTCACAATCACTGTTTTTGAGACCTTTCTCCACTAAATAACCAGTTTACGCCAAAGACGTGATAATCTGCCTTTTAGCCGGTCACAATGCTGAGTGGCTAATGGATTGGCAGAATTTCACCAAATTGATTTTTCCTTGAGATTTTTGAATGTTGAAAATGAAATTGTAATTTTGATTTTCGTTCTTTAAACTTTAATAATTA